TTATAAATTTTCCAAAAAATGTTCATTATTTATTATACATTGATTATATGTATTTTAAGAGTGTTTTATAATATGAAAGGCTAGATAGATAAACAGACTGTCTGTGTCATCTTTCGCTATTACATAGCAAGGTTGGAATTCATCAAAGATACCTACCTAGCTAGGTATAATATTCATGCGATTCTAATATCAAATGATAGCAAGCCTTGAATCCACGCGGAAGGTCACAGCCACAACTAATTTCTCACTAGCCACAACCCACCACAATGAATGTTTTCATTGTACCTAGGTATTTGAATTCATCAACGAACCGAGTAGGTGGTCATCATTAAAGGGTTCCCTACAACCTGCACCGGTACAAATATAAGCCTCTCTCTGGTCCATCAATGCCAAGTGGCCCACGATATTGGCCTGAAGGAATGTCGCATTCATTCATCACACGCTTCACGATATCAGTGGTCCGTTTGTGTAGTAAGCACACTTCATCCCGCGAATTTGATACCCAAGTATTCGTACTCATACTCCATCAATGCTGTTCTTATACCGGTATATTGTAGGAAAGCTTACAGTATCATAACTGCTGGATTTTCATTTAAGCTGTCAAAGATTCGAATGGTTTTGTTCCTCCCCACATTTTACACCACGTGGGAACAAGATCTGATTCCCCTTACCGCTTTTTTGGTGTGATGCACACTTCACCCAACTCTGGTAGACTGGGTAGACTACCAGTGGTACTATAAAACTTCCGATGGGCATTCTTCCTGTTCAGTGCGTTGGCATAATCCTTATTCGGTAATGTGTTGGGCCCGACCCGACCAAGTCAATGCATAGGGCAGCAATCTGCAAGCATGCATGGGTCTAGAGATGCATCATCACATTCAATTGACAGCCTCGCTTTTTTCTTCTCTTCCTTTCGTTCTAAAAGTTCCTTTCTTCAATTGTGAAGGGAATGCCATTTGTCTGTATTGCGAGCTGCCTTTTCATAGTGACACCATAGACCTGCAGGTAATCATCTGTCAACCAACCTGATTCGTGCCGGTCTTTCGGTCCACAGTAAACTTCTGCAGAACAGTTATACAAAGATTGCCCCCCTTCATGTGGATACTTGTTTTGATACCAAGCAACGAGGCTGTAGTATTATCCATACATGGAGAACACAGATGTGGCTACCTCTGATAAGGCGAGAAGTTCAGAGCATTATTCGGAAATGGATCGAGGACCTGCAACACAGAACGATATTTCCCAACGAGATTCAAGTCCATCGGGAAAAACAATGGATAGACAGCGCGAAGCTCAAGAATATATTCGCAATCGTCGAGCACAAGCAACCGTGGCAGATGAGGCAGATGAGAATGCCATGATCGATAACGTTGCACAATTTGGGCCACAAAATATAAGTAGAGAAAATGAAGATGATGAACAAAAGCTACTTGCCACATTAGCAGAAAAGTACAATTACAATCTATACCTAGTAAGTCTGAGAGAATGGAAGCTTCCTGGGTTCCCTCTTTGGTTATCCCAAGCCAGATCTGATAGACTGATGATGCAAAGCCTTCTGGAAATTCGGAAAGTCCTGTGATCGAGCATACAAATTACGCTGCTCAACTACATCGCGCTCAGCCGTCATCATCGTCCCAAACACGTCAAATAACAGATGGGCATGATTCCTGGCACCACTCTCGTCCCAGAAATCGATCCAATTCCCCACCAGCCGAAGATCTCCCTCAATCTCCTTCCCCATCAATACGACAGCTTGACAGTACGCAAATAACTCCATCTCCTCCGCCACCTATTCCAACAGCTCCAATTTCCGAATTCCGTACTGGTCCTATCTTTTCTAATTCACATATGCCTTACCAAGCAAATAATCCTCGACCCCCCTACACAACAAACCTCAGACAATACGCAGATAGAAATCGGATACCGGCCGCCAAGCAGATATCCGAGCGATCGGGGTTTGAGAACAATACGACCAATGCTGGAACACAACCATCTGTAGCCAGTGAGTACAACTGTTTTGGATCAAGGTTCGGATGAAGATAAGCTCACACATTTCTAGGTCAGCTCTCAGACAGATATAGACATAATCAGATCGTGTCTCCCCCACATCAAAAATCACAGTCGCCGCAGGCGGCACCTACTCAATGGGCGGCACCCAAACCTGCTCGAAATAATACCAATATTGTCCAGAATTTGCAGGATTCTCAGGCCTTACAGTTATCGGAGTCCGGGTCGCAAGTGTCTAGGCTTCAACCTGTATCCTATCCTTCCCAATCACGGGAAGATGCTCCTCGACAAAATGTAGAGCAGGGGCATGATTCCTCACACCTAAGCGGCCCAGAGCTCTGGAGCCATAATAATAGGCTTCCGCAAAAGAACTACCCAACTCCCGATAGTCTATCAAGCAATAGTCGCCGCCAGATGTCTTATGCACCTCAGACCAATTCTCATAATAGCCCTAAGGCTTACGGTCATGCGCCACCTGGACAACTTGCACCTGTCTCGCAAGGTCATCACGGAGTCCATGGACACGAAACATATGAGCCCCACCATGAGCATGAACGAGGGCCCGCGGAATATGCTTATGGTCAAAACTCTCAGGGAGAATTCAGTCCGCGTATGTATTGTGTTCCTTCTGTTTAGTCTTTCATAGCAAATACTAATTTTTGTCAGCAACAACGATGCCTAACCAGTCAAACTTTACTCCAGAATCTCATGGAAATTCCACTCGTGGTCATGCAGGAGGATACAGTTCGGAACACCAGTTCGAACCAACCTTGGAAGGTCGTAGACCACGTGAGTAATCCAGTATTTATTTTGCAATACCTGCTGAACAATCACCAGACATGCATGGATCAACATCATCGCCCACGCTTCATCGCCATAATAATCTCGTCGACTGGAGATCACAGCTTTGCCAACTATTCAATGCACCACCTGAAAGTCATGACGAAGATTTGTTCAAAATGCTGGAAATAACAAGGAGCAAAATTCTGCCAGATAACCGTGACTTAGAGCCAGAAAAACTTACACTGCCTTATCATACTATTTATCGAGTCAGATGTCATCAAAAGGAACAGACCCATATGTTTTTGGACACCCCTTGGCTTGTGAAGGATAGTTCGACCGGTGAACATATACATGGCAGTATGATTGTAAGGAACATCGCTCTCCATGTTCAGCAATATACAAACCTATCGTTTATCGTATACCAAAACTACGCCTGCTGTAAACCCAAATCCGATACATTGATAAGATCAAAGTCACTGAAATCGAAATCTGGAGACTCGGAACATCCTGTCGCGAATGACGAGAATGAACTCGTAGAATTTCTCGAAGGCGAGTCGGTGTGTTTGGTCGGTAGCGAGCTATCTGCCGGTCTCAAAAGACTTACCAGACAAAACATCCAAGAGAATTCATATTACCCTTCATTCAATGTTGGTACCGAGTTTGAGGCACCATACCCATGGTTTTATCATCAAAGAGCTTCATTGGAAGAGCGCAGACGCCAGTTAAAGCCCGAGCTCTTGACTCGTGTAAATTCCTTTGTGGAGTACGTTAATGATAGCTTTGGCCCGGAATATGCTATTGTTGATGCACTTCTAAGCCAAGGGAAGATATCTCGTAAATATCTATGTTACCTTTACGTGGGTGAATTCCTGGCACATATAGCCATGTCCAATATCGGAGAATCAACTAATTTAGTAACAGAGCCCCGAAACCGTCATATTGCGTACTGTTAAAGAGGAAGAGGGCAAGAAGAAGGCGTACTTAACTAAATCTTGGCTTCATTTACAAGCAGGAGGAAGTCCGAAAGAGAGAGGACAGTCTGTTACGTTGGCACCCTCCTTACTCGTATCTTCTTGGACGTTTGATGGTCTTTTTCAAGAGAACGTTGAGTCAATCACGGTTGATGATTTCAAGAACTCAGAAGAAGTGGTAAAAATCACTGCTCTCAGCACTTATCCAATGCGGTACGCCGACCCCACTATTGGAACCTCGCTTCGAAAACAAGGAGAAATGTTCTGGAAATTCCGCCATCCCTGCTACATATACTATAGTGAAGAAGATGAGTCGGAAGACGATATTGTGGGGAACCCAATCAATGACTTTATACTCGTACGTTTGCTAATATCAAACTTCTTTACAGGGACAGTCCAGGTATATGATTGACGTCCAAACGTACAAGAAGTTGCATTCCAAATCCGCTGGAACGGAAGCCCATAATCGAGACGATTTAGGTACCTTAGCTATGGCGTCTGATGTACCACCAGAAGGTGTTTTCACACTTCTGTTACCCAGCACCATTATTGGCTTCAACATACAGGAAAAGAAATGGGGTTTGTAACACGAAATCCATCGATCGCTGTCCTATTTACTAATGTGCTTCATTAGCCGATCTCGAAGTTAGTCGCATGTACGCGGTGAAATGGAACAAAGATGCATTCGATTCATTAGCTAGAGATAACGACACCAAGACCCTCATCACATCTTTAGTCGCAAACCAAATCAAAGAAGAGCAGAGCCCAGGACTCATCGGTAGAAAGGGAACTGGCTCAATTATCCTATTACACGGGTAAGCGACCAACAAACTTGGACCTTCGATTTCTAGGCTAATAATGAACTAATAGCTCTTCTGGAACTGGTAAAACAATGACAGCAGAAAGCGTGGTAGAGGTGGTCGAAAAACCACTCTACATAACCTCATGCAGCGAGATAGGAACGACACCAGAAGCACTCGAAAAATCCCTCGAACAGATTCTCTATCTTGGAAAAGTCTGGAAATGCGTCATACTCCTCGAAGAAGCCGATATGTTTATCGAGAAAAGGACCTTGGGAGATCTTCATCGCAACGCATTAGTCTCTGTATTCTTACGTGTAATTGAGTCATACAACGGGATTATCATTCTCACGAGTTCGCCTATTTATGCTATGGACGAGGTTCTCAAATCTCGCATTCAACTTTCGCTCCGCTACTCTCCTCTTACTTTGGCCCAACGAACCAAAATATGGGAAACGCATATCACACAGCTCGAATCATTAGAATCGCTATTCAATCCCTCCACGATAAATATCTCGGAACTCCGAGCAAATTTACCCACATTGGCGAAGTACAAGCTCAATGGACATGAAATCGGACACGCAGTCAGAACATCGAGACAACTAGCTCTATGGAAGGGTATCCCTATGGGATTTGAAGAAGTGCGGTATGTGGTGAGTGTCTCAGGTAGATACGAAGATGCAGATGAAGAAGAGAAGAAAAATGCGGGAGATGTGGTGAGAGGGGTCGTGGATGAGGCGGATGAGGATCCCTATGATGGTGTCGAAGATTTAATGAGTGTTGCGGGATTATGATCTGATTGATGAGTTTATGAATTATGATTTATGTATCATTTGATTTTAGCGAGCGTTTCTTTGGTGGAGGTTTGAGATTTCTTCTGCTGTTTTACAATGTTTATACTCTACAGTATGGAGGGTCGGGTTTCTGTTCGCTTATGCGTTTTGTGTTTTCATTGTATGGCCGTTTGCGATTGAATTTGCGATTGTGGTTTTCTCAGGCTCTGCGTATACCAACCATACTATACCATTCTTGCATGATGATTTGTACTACTAGCTAGGGTAGTAGGGTAGTACTCGTAGGATATAGGGAATAGAATAGATGTATCGATTTTTATGTATATTCTATACCCCCTATCATTATGATCACATTCATCACATTCATTACATTTATTACATTCGTTGCATTCTCATAGATGTATAATGGATGTTTGAAATTTTTCATGACAAGTATTTCACCCTATACTCGAGTAGTGAGTGTGACGACACGAAAACATGGAACAGCATCTCAGAGTCTTAATAATATACTAGAGCACATGATTTCTTTTCGTACCCTACGAAAGGATCTCTTCGTAGTTTTAAGTTATCCTGCCACCACAGACAGGATCACGGACATAAAACCATAGTTCAGGTTGCTTCGCATGCAAAAATCCCGTGAAAGGAAATCCGTAATTCTCATTATAGAACTCACTTTGGAGATTTGCATCGTACGGGTACTTGGAGGCTAGATGCTACGGATTATCACGTCATGATGTGATTAATGAGGTGTTGATCTGTGCAGAATTTGTGAGTGCGACAAAAAAAAACTTGGAACGTTGTACTTGTATTGAATGTTGGATTTCGTAATGGTGAAGGACCGGACTTGGAGGGGAGGACAGAAATGAGATTACTAGGAGGAAATCTTAACTTGAACTCATTGGAATTTGGAGCTGCTGGTTGGTATTATTGGTAATTATAGGAATAAAGCAGTGAAAACCTATTACAGACACTGCTATGTAACAACCACTTTCACAAAACCTACATCCGTCACATATCAGCTGAAAGCCAAATACTAAAACTACAATTTTATACTACAACATAATCAATCCCCTCTTCACAGTTGACCCCTCCTCCTCCTCCTGGCACATATCCGTAACTCTACAACAACCTCATCCTCCTTCCCCTTCTTCTATTGACCTCTTTACTAAACTCTCCGTACAAACCACCCTCTCCAATCACCTTTGAAAAATTCGATCAGCTTCTAGTCTCAAAACCCAAATTCCGCCCCATTCACCTCGAATCTTCTACCCCTTCCACCACCTCTACTTTCCTCTCTTCTCTACACAGCCCCATTCTACACCGCCTTTACCACATTCACCTACTCCGGATTCCGGTCATACCACTACCCCGCACCCTCCCTCAATTAGTAATTTCAATCTTGAAGCTCTGACCTCGTAGAAATAGCTCTAGCCTAGTCGAAATGACTCTCAATCTCGCACCACAGCTTCAAATTCACTTACCAATACGTCGGTTTTCTTACTCGATTTTCCTAGATTTCTCGATTTCTCGGTCTCTCGATTTCAATCATCCAATATTTTACAATTTAGCCTCGAACTTTATTTCGACCTCATTTTATAGTACTAGTAACTAGACCACTTCTATTTTATCTATTGGAATTTTAATACCAAAATTTGTTATTAGCACTTATTAAGTTTGTATTATATTATAGGCTATTCAGCTTTTAGAAACAAATCTAATTATATATTCTTTTAATTTGAATGAGTTTTGATTACAAGAATCTCTAATCAACTTTAATAATTTTATAGCCATCGATGTTTATTAGCAAAATAAGTGGAAACTTTAAAACTTTTTTTTTATATATTCTTATTTATAAAAAAAGTAATGATGAGTTATCTAAAAGATTTTAAAAAGACTTTTAAATTTATTAATATACTGGCAATTGGGAGCTTTATTTGGAGGATTGGGATTCAGTTACATACACATTAATGAGATGCATCTGTTTGTAACGTGCGAGACTATGTTAGCTTTTTAGATACACAATATGAGAGAGCTGATTAAATGACACAAATCGATCGATCATTGGGCATTGAGACAACTTGATGGGTAATGTGACTTATTAATTGCTATTTTCACCCATACAATTTCTAACGATCAATTCGAACTAGAAATTGTGACCCCGCATAAGTGGTCCACTAATTCCATACTCCATATGCGGGGTCAGAAAGTATGCAACTCAGTTAACTAAGTGGGCTGAAGTCTCTTATCGGTACCTCGCATAATAATCCACAATACTTACGAGTACTGTATTTCTACTCATTTGAAAACGGAATCTTCGATTTCTGGATCTGATATTAGTTGAATTAATGGAAATGAAGAAATAGTATTGGCTGAATACCTCTGTTTTCCTTATCAAGTAGCGGCGATTTGCATACTTTCTGGCGTGGCGACACGAGTAGCTTTAAAACAATGGAAACTCTAGAAGCGGGGCCATATGCGTGTACGTCAGACTATTAGTAGTAATTTCGACCTCATGTACAAACGAACTTGATGTCTCCCCTTCTGAATAGCCTCGCAATTTTTGATACCGGTAGATTTTCTGCAGAAACCGAGTCAATTATCGATGCAATTTTACTATTGAACCATTGTCGCTCTACTGTCAAACACTCATGAGCTAGAAATCCTGCATTCATTACTTTTTGGACCGGTCATTAAACTTGGCAGCGGGCTCTTCCACTTATCTACCTACTTGTACAAATAAACCGGCGTTGCGACTTTAACGAATTGGTGAAAAATGGCTAACGAACATCTGAGTATCAGTTATGACGAATATGTGAACGGCTATGACAGTGTCGACGGTCCGAGTGATCTTGATCATGAGCGCGAGCTCGTGCAAAGTGACGCAGAAGCTGCAGGTGATAAGGACAGCGACGAGGACGAAGTAGAGGACGGCGACGAAGAACCAAATCCTGGAGAGGAAATCATCAATGTTGGAACAAAACACAAAGGGAGGTCGTATGATGAAATGATCCAATTAAACAAAAATTATATAAAGTGGGCTGTTAGAGAATATGAAAAGGCACCCGATGATGCTTCAGATATGGTAAGTCTTCTTCCGCCTCAGATATACGTCACGCCCTAATGAAATGATTATAGATCCTCACTTTGAAAGATCTCTTTGATAGAAAAAAAGCTTGGTCTGAGAAGAAAGAATTAAAGCGTCCAGGTTCCACTCCAATGTGGTTTGGCAGGCATGAGGGGATTCTCATTCAGGACCTAGAGTATAGCTACGTTCAATGGATACTCAATGAGTGTGCGGGTGGCACTGAGTTTGCCGATGTAATGTAATAAAATCCGATTTGATGAATTTGGTTATGCTGACAAGATTGTTCAGTTCCACAAATTCAATCGCTCGAAAAAGAGTCCCGGATCGATTATAATTTGGTTTGGTCAAGATAAAGGCAGAGTTCCGCCAGATTTGGGACAATTAGCCTGGGAAATGGAGATGGCTTATAGAGCCAGGTAATTGTATTTGGCGACCTCGGCTTATGGAAATCGATCGAGAATATCAACTATGGCTTGATGACCATCGGCGCACGCCGTTGTCGTACAGAAGAGTGAGAAGACCACCTGAGATTGTCAATTACTGTGGTAGAAGATTAGGCAGCGAGGATGATGGAGCGGCTTCCGACGTTGGATCTTATATTTCTGATGATGGTTTTGTGGTCGCGGATGAAGTCGAAACTTTCAATGATGACGAAGGAGAAGATACCGAAGACCCTACCGAAGTTTACGAGCGGAACAGAAGTGATGTCGTTGAGAGCTGGGAGGATGGTCAAAGGCTCGCCGCATATTCTGACTTGGAAGCGGCCGAGAGCGATAATGATTCCCTTCCCAGCCTAGAAGAGGTATTGAGAGGAGGCATGGCAAGCTCATCACATCCCTCCAAGCAAAGTCCGCCAGGCGCATCAAAAGCCACCGCCATTTCAATTGACAGCGAAGATGATTCGGAAGAACTTATATACTCTTGCAAACGTGGAGCACCAAAATCTCCCTCGATAAACAAAAAGAGAGCGGTCAAGGACATCGATGATGGCGAAGAATCTGCTTTAGTTTCTGCGAAGGATGGAGCCGATGGACTTACAAAGGAACGTTCCAATAAATTGTATCCTTCACCACCAGTAACTCAAGAGACAAACATAAAGAATGAGGATATCAATGCTATTGAATCGGATTCAGTCATTCAATTGGTGTCTTCCAGTCGGAGAAAGTCAAAGAACAAGACCCCTAAGAAGAGCAAAGCGCGAGGAAAATTCGATATCGATAGCTCAGACTCAGATATGCCATTGTCACTCCCACATCTGAGAACTCCAAGAAAACGAGCTGCGTCCGTAGAATGTACAGGTTCCAAAACCATCCTGACAAGCCCAACCAAAGAAAGGGCCCGAAAGAAGCAATTCAGGGGAGAGGGAGCGAGGACATAATAGACGGCTATAGAGAGTGCTTTTTACAACAGCTCAAGGAGTTGAGATGTTGCACCGCAACCATAGTATAGTAGTTAGATTCGGGGTATGAGTGTATTTGGGTAAGGTTGATGTTTCAAAATTGTGGACAAATTCAATGGTTCAATGTTCACTGAGATGTGTAATGCTAGGAAGCGATAAAAATAACCGTATTATGTAAGCGACCACGTGCCATTTCCCTCATAAATCAATTGTTGCATATCTGAAAAGTTTGGAAATGTCATTTTACAACATGGTCATCATTTAGCGCCAAATTGTAGAAACTTACATCGACTGGGAATAAGACCACTTTCTGAAGTTTATTTCCGGTTTCAACAAATTGTGTTCTGCCCAAAGCGGTGAAACGACGAACATCACTTTAGCCCGTTCGTCCTGTTGTTGCTCACGCAGTAACATTACATCATCATTATCATACATTGCAATTGAGAAGACATTTTGATATCTTACCTAGAGTATGTTCTAGAATATCTTACTATACAGATTCATAATTAACGATGTCACTCATGTGCCACCGTTTAATTCGAAATGTAGCAGCTGAACCTTTCCTATATGCTCGCAGCTTTCAGCATCATATTCGATTTTCGAGCGGGATGGCTTCCAAAGACCGTAGCTACGAGGATGCGATAAAACTCCTAGACACTTTGCAGTCCAACCGAGCGATCGTTTCTTCCATATCAAACACATCGAAGGATATGAACCTACATGCTATACCGGAAATGCTAGAGTGGACGCGCAAGGCGGGTTACGAAGCTGGAGATTTTTCAAAGCATGGACTGAAGTGTATACACGTAGCTGGGACAAAAGGAAAGGGCAGTGTATGCGCTATGATTGATAGTATTCTGCGACGGTATCGATACGAAGATGGTGACAATGGGGTTGTGCCAGGGAATACAAAACAAAAGGCTCTTGGAAAGATTGGGCTATATACTTCACCACACCTGATGACAGTGCGGGAGCGAATACAAATTGATGGCTCTCCTATATCCGAGATCCTATTTGCGCGTTATTTCTTCGAGCTCTGGGATAGATTTGCCGATGCTGCTTCCGCATCTGATACCCCGCATCCAAATCCTACTTCGTCAGAGACCAAGCCTGGATATTTTCGCTACCTTACTATCATGGCACTACATACATTTATGAAAGAAGGAGTAGAGTCTGCCATCATCGAATGCGGCATTGGAGGGGAACATGATAGCACGAACATACTACCTGCGGAAGCAGTCACTGCCACCGCGATCACGAAACTCGGCATCGATCATGTTGGAATTTTGGGAGACACTGTTGATAAAATAGCTTGGCACAAGGCTGGTATCATGAAAAGAGGCGTTCCATCGTTTACAGTTCCGCAGCTTGAAGAAGCGCAGTTTGTTCTAGAGAGTCGCGCAAAGGAAAAATATGCTGAATTGAAGGTTGTGAATCGACATTCAGGGTTCAATGACGGAACCATTGAACTAGGAGCTGAAGGAGAGTTCCAGAAGGATAATGCGAGTCTGGCAATGGCTGTCTCGGCATCACATTTACAAGCACTAGGTTTTGAAGATGTACCCAGCCCTTCCGAACTCTTATCTTCTCAGCAACCAATCCCAGGCCAATTTCTAGAGGGGCTAAAGTCAATGAAATTGGCCGGTAGATGTGAAGTTGTGGTAACTGGGAATATCACATGGTTCATCGATGGTGCTCACACAGTGGACAGTATCAAGGAGACTGGCCTTTGGTACGCTTCGAAAGTCACGCGCGCCACCGAGGAGGAAGTCGCCCCCGACACGAAAAGCATGCTAATCTTTAATCAACAAGACCGCGACCCCAAGGCACTTATCGTGACACTACTACAGAGCATATCTGACTTTCGTTGGAAATCATTTACTTTTGCTGCGTTTTGTACCAATACACCTTTCAAGAGCGAAGCCATTAAGAAAGGTGACAAGGATCTCAGTCAACAGGAGTCGGCATCCAAATACTATTCATTGTTAGATTGTAACCAACTGTGTATGGAATATGCGAGTATTGAAGAAGCTGTAGAACTTGTGCACAGGGTATCGAAAGACGAGGAACGATTTTTTGTTCTTGTGACTGGAAGTCTGCATCTGGTCGGTGGGCTGATGAAGGTTCTTGAACAGCAGAGGAGTACGAGAGAGCGAGAACTACAAAAGCCCCCCGAGCCCAAAATAGGTATCAAACGGTACTACCATAAGAGGACGGACTAATTGAAATCGAGGACTAACTAAAGATGCCTACTCCCTCTCGGGCTGGTTGTATTGAGTGGTAGGTGAGTGGGGCGAGTTGAGGGGGCTAGTAGGCCTATGATTACCGTGGGAAACGTATGGTCTCCCTCCGACATATTTTTGGTCGAAAAGATGTTATCTATCGATCGAAACACTGGGTCTAATGTTTAATGAGAATTTCAATACTGGTCTGTGAAATTCACCAGAAAGCGAGCTATATTACATGTACGAGTATTTGGGCAAAGCATAAATCCACGAAAATAGAAACTTCTTTAAGTATTATATTGGTTGAGCAATAACGTCGCAGATACGTGAATTCCTTGGTATCCAGTGCCTCCTCTCTCCTCTCCTCTCCTCTCCTCTCCTACAAAAATCAAGGTAATACCGTCTTCCTCCCGTGCGCTCCTCACCCCTACTCGAGTATTGTATTATAATTCCACAAGTCCCCCCCTTCCCCCCTACAACGCATCCACCTCCAAACTCCCCAGCGCTCTCCCAACTAAATGCACACTCCCAGTAACAAGAACTTGAGCGTGCGCATCATCCGTAGCCACTCTGCGCACATATTTAAAGGCCTCTTCGATGCTGGGAAGAACGTGTATTTGGGTTTCTGGGTCGGAATCGAGTGTGCGCCATTTTTCGGCAAAGGCTTTTTGTAGTGTGAGTCTGGATTGCGGGTCGGTGGATAGGTTGATGAATTCTAGGGGGTGGGGGTTAGTCTTTCTTTTTTTGGTAGGTGTTTTAATTACCTATTTTAGATGTACTTTTTTTCTGAATGGAGGTTGAGCAGAAGATGACGTGGTTGAATTTGATAGACCTTCGGGTTGCGCGGTGCAGTCCCTCGAGTAGTCCGATGGCTTCACGGTGGCCTTGTTGATTGAAAATTAGAACTCGAGGACCGGTTCTAGAGTAGGTTAGTTAGTTATGTCATGTTGATGAGCTCAACGCTCACAAGTATACTAACTTATTAGCTACTTCATCACGATACCATTTTGCTGCGATTTCGATACTATCTGCAGTATGTGCTCCGTCCAAATACCACGTGACGTTTCCATCAACCTTGGTTTCGCATCTCCCGCGCCAGACGACTTGCTCTAAAGCATCTACAAATTTCTGGGGTAGAAGATCCAGGGAGGTTCTGAATTGGGGATCCAATTTTTGGAGCACGGTCTCGGCTAAACGTATGGCAAGACTTGCATTCCCTCTTTGAAATTCTGCAGCAGGTTTTATGTTCACGGTCTTGAGTCTGGGGTCTAAACTGATTACCTGGAAAAATTCCACTGCTTTCTCCGTGGCCCTTTCAACTACCACTTCCATCGCTTCTGGCTTTTGGTTCACTGTAAATGATGGTACTCCCGCCTTCTGAATCCCAGCTTTGTGCCACGCGATCTTATCAATCGTTTCTCCGAGTGCAAACACATGATCGACCCCTAGCGAGGATATACCCGTCACCGCCGGTCGATCCACAATATTCGTGGAATCATACTCGCCCCCAACCCCGACCTCATAGATCGCGGCATCGACACCCTCTTGAAGAAAAACGTGATAAGACATCAAATTTAAGTATCGGAAATAAACAGGTTTCTCAAACGGTACGCTCGAAGAAGCTGCGGCTGCTTCCAGACGATCCCATACTTCGAAGAAATATTTTGCGAATAGAGGAGCGGAGAGAGGAGCGGAATTGATTCGGATCCTTTCTCGCACGGCGATGAGATGGGGTGATGTGAAGAGTCCGACTTTTTGGGGAAGGCCATGTGACTTCCTATACCGGTTGAGGATGGAATCAACGTAGGCGCACGTAGATCCTTTACCTTTGGTACCAGCAACGTGGGTGATGTTCAATCTTTCGAGGTCATCTTGCTAGACGTGGATTAGTGATTGAAAAGCAGGAAGAGAGGTTGAACAATACGGTGTATCCGATTCGAGTCAAATGCTGTCTCATTTCTTGATTGGCACCTCCATCGAGTTTGATCCCGGCTTCCCGTCGTTTTTGAAGAACTTCGTAGGGCGTTTGAAGTCTATTCAGGGCCTTGATCGCATCCTAATCGATGGTGAGCAGGTGTATAGCAATACTATGACCCTTGTGATAAACGAACATTGTAGGTTCTTGTTGCCATTGTGGCCATATTAATGCGGGGATTTGCGGTAACATTTCTTAGAGACCGGAGAGATGATATATAGAGAGAAGACCACATTCTATATTATTTGCAAGTTGATGTTTAGAGTCTGAAGATACAAATTTCTTGGGTTGCATCACCAGTGATCGTATTCGTTGCAGATTAAAGCGGCCGCATAATAATTAGTAATCCTCAGAAGGACCAATGGCTTTCTCTCCAAAGCGTTCTTACGTAATCGTAGGCGTACCCTCTCAGGGGAGTTACCATGATGGGAAAGGAGTTCTGTCTGAGAGCACTCTTTACCCCTAGATTACGCTGTCAGATGAGGAATGGACCGCGAGAGTGGGGGTCGAGATGGATGTGTCCTAGCAGCAAGGTAAAGGTAGATCTGCATAAACAATGTCATTTATCACCGCCATTCCTTCTCAATATACCCGTACTTGTCCATTGTGTATGAGATATGGCGCGACGGAGATCTCAGAGTGATGATATATCACAGAACAATGGCGACGAGCTCCAGAGAATCTCTTTTGAGAATGTCGTGCGCGAGAAGGGTAAATTGGAGGAGGCGGCAGTTGAACCGGTAGTTGTGAGGGTCGAGACTCGATTCTCGGAAAAGGAGGTGACAATACGACAAGTAGCACCTATGGTCATTGTTCTAACGGGTGCTACATTTCTTGTTGTAAGTAACATCGTGTGTTTCAGAACGATGTCTAACTATCATAACATTTCTACAGACAATTGCTGCTCAGTCAGTCATTATCATTTTACCTGAAATCTCTCGGGATCTTGATATTCCTCAGGCTCGACAGCAATGGGTGGTATCTTCATATGCGTTGACGTCTGGCTCATTTCTACTCTTGTGGGGTAAACTTGGGGATGTTTATGGCAGGAAATTGCTATTCATTCTAGGTGCGATTTTCACGGCTGCTACTTGTGTTGGGACCGCGTTCTCTCCGGTTGAGATTTGCTTGTATGTGATGCGGGCGTTGCATGGACTAGCTTCTGCTGTTACTATCCCTACAGCAATTGGTATTATAGGACATACCATTCCACCTGGACGAGTGAAGAACTACAGCTTCGCGTTCTATTCTGGTGGTGCCCCAATGGGTCAAGTTTTGGGAAATCTCTTAGTACGTGCCTTCCTTCCTTCCAGAGTCCGTTGGTTATCCTAATTCATTATTCAGGGTGGAATTATCTCTCAATGGGCGAGTTGGAAAGTTGTCTTCTTTGTGATAGCTGGTGCTTCTCTTACTATCGCCGTAAGTGCAATAATTGTGGTTCCAAATGAGCCGCCTAGAGGCGATGACGAAGATACAATGCGTGCCTCGGGAATTGATTGGATTGGTGCTTTCCTATTCACTGCAGGTCTATTATTATTACTCGTTGGTTTATCACAAGGGGGATCATCTGGATGGGAGGCGGCTTCGGTCATTGCGATCATAGTTATTTCTGGATGCTTACTCATAGGATTTGTTCTCTGGGAACATGATCGTGAGACAAAGACCACAAAAGAGCCACTAATGAGAGTGTCGACGTTTAGACATAAGCAATTCTCCATCGCTATGATTATTATCACTTTATTCTCGGCTGGCTTCACCAATTTCTGCCTATATACCACTTACTAGTAAGTCATCAATCTGAATTCGTAATTGACAAAGCTAATTTGGGTATAGCTACCAAGATTTCCAACTTCTTGATCCCATACAAACTGCTCTCCGGTACATTCCACTAGGTGTGGTTGGTAGTATGTTTTCAATATCTTCTTCCACAAGAAATAATTCTGACAACTCTACAGTACTCACGACTTTTGGATCCGGATACCTACTCGCTCGAATCAATGGCGATTACATCCTCAGCTTCGGTCTCGGCTCCGCAATGATTGCCAATCTTCTGTTTGCTGTACCAATACCTCCCAGTACATCATATTTCGCCTTCGGCTTACCAGCAATGTCACTTGCAGCCTTCGGTGCTGATACAGTCTACCCATGTCTCGGTTTATTCACAACTCAATCACTTCCTCGCAAGGATCAATCAGTCGCCGGAGCTATGTTTCAGACTATGGCAGCCATTGGACGAGCCATGCCATTACCCATCACATCGGCAATTCAGCAGTCTGTACAATCAAAACAGTTGAAGCAAGGGAAATCGCAGCTGCAAGCATTCTTGTATGGGCTAAGGGCTGTGGAATGGTTCTGTGTGGGTTGTATGGCAGCATCACTGGCTTTGACTATTGTCGGGCTCAGAAATATTGGAAAGATTGGGATGTTGAAGAAGTTAGGGACAGTACAGCCGAAGCCAGAGGAAGTTCGGGAGGGGAAGGATGGTGAGGTATAACAATTACTTTTAAAATACTGATTTAGACACCCACAAACCATATATTTCCATAATATTCTTCAATTTAGATTGTCAAGAACCTGGTCTTCACGTATTAGGTTTCCAACATTTGGGCATGCAGGATACTCAGACTATTGCCCTAACTCTAATCAATTTGTTAGAAACTGACAAACCTACTATTGATGCTATACGGAGTACTTTCCATTTGATTAATGATATATATATACTTGATCCCAGCCCATTTATATGCTTAACTCCGAATGTGGAGTTGGCTTCTTTATCTCCGAAACATCCCCTTCAACCCCACTAACCCACAACCACGAAAAATCTTTGCAAAAAAGCATACGAAATTAAACTATCAAGAACTTCATAGACAGCACTAATTATCAGAAACAGCTAGATATTTGAAGGGGCGGAGGAGAGGAGCGAATTCCGAGAGAGTCTGGATCTCAATCCCATGTTCCAGTCTGAACCTAAACCACCCATCCAACAAACACCCCCCTCTTCCTCTCTCAATACAACATTTCCAATCGAATTGTTTACGAAAGCTTTCCAGTACAAAAACAAAAAAGATAAAACAATTGGAGCGGCAGGGTATCGAACCCTGGACTTCATCGAAGCTTAGCCATGTGACGTTAGACGATCAACATGATGCAAACGAGGCACTCTACCACTGAGTTACAGCCCCTGATAGTTTGTTTTTGATTGAAAATATGACCAGAGATCTGATATATATAGACTGAGTCTTTTTTGTATCCACTAAAGAGGGTCCAGAAAATAGGAAATACACGCTCTAGGGGGATCCGCTCGGTATCCACTGCCCCTCTTCCCATTCTTAGAGGCGTCTATTAACTGACGGCTGATGTTGTGTTTTTCTAATATGAATCGAAGTCGAAGACTACTTACTATTTGCTTTCTCTCCTCGGTCAGATACGAATCTTATAACACCACTACCCACGTCAATTCCACCTAACTAGCACTCACTTCGTCGTCTTCATTCCCATCATCTTTGATTTCTTCTTTACGGCCTCCATCACATCAAGAAATCAAGAAACGAAGTCGTCTCACCAGTATGTCTGTCAGATTGAACAAGGGCTGAGAGTAGCAGAAATATCCTTTTCGTTCAGCCCATCATATCATCACAATCGTCTCAAGTGCGAACCTCTCTGCAGAGTAGAATGCAGAGTAGAATTGCCGTACTATACTCTATCATTGGCAGATTACAGCATAGTAAAGTGAGGGAAATCAATGCAAGACGAAGTCGTTTTTTGAGCATGCATACATGCAATAACATCTTCTAGGAAGAACTTTGGACGTTGCTGATTATCTATCTATACTATTACACTGATGATGAGAGAGAGTTCAGATCGTCATGATGAAGTTAGTTGATACCATAACTCGGCTGTGGTGTAATGTATTATGGTTGTAGGGGAAGATGCATGTTCCTGCGATGCGAGCAAAGGTTTGGTCACATGTTGTATAATCTCTGTTTGAATCGCGGTTTTAGCTTTTCCTCTCTATCCAGGCAAAATTTGCTGTTGTTATACATATGGATGACGGTATAGCGACTATTTAGTTTGTGCTCGAGGAAAATATTTATTCTATGGTGGTCGGTTAGTCGATCAACAATACTTGTAAGACGACAACATCTCCATTTTGTTTGAGAGGTACTGTAGATCCTTCTGTCGATTGATTAATCATGATGAGAACTCTATCTTTCTCTACCTTCCCGTTGAACTTCCAAATTATTGAATCTTAAAATCAATTATAGCGCTGTTACACTGGGGAGTTTATCTCTTTAGAAAGGAATGAGTTATGATGGTAGAAGTCGCCATAACATAATCATAGTCCATCCATTGTCTCTCGATGAAGAAGAAAGACATTCTGCGATGAGTCTCCCTCTCGGGGTGATCAGTTTGAATTAATTTGATGTTCACGATTATGAGCAAACTACTATTGTTCAGTCAATCCTCTTCAGTCGAGAGAAAAGAATTTAACGACGGGATCTTTTTTGAGACTAGTGAAGGTGGTGGGGTAGGAAGCTCTCCCCTAGTATTTTGATTCACGGGTGTTATTTAGGTTCTGGATACGCTGAACTTTATCCTTGAACTTAAGCTAGTGAAGCTCTTGAAATGAGGTGCAGATGGAAAGGATTTCTCCCTCCGCATGACTGAAGTGCTGCAGTAGATGAGTGTGTTCAAAAACGGCGTGGGGGAGGCATAGTTGCAAGTAACCTCATATGCTTTTGTCTTGAATTTCAAGTAGAAATAAATGAAGATTGGATCATTGGAATGATGGGTTAAGGATGTTGGGCTTCAACTACTCAAATATTCGGCTGAACATCACCTAACGATTCGTTCTGAGTTTCTTGAGTGAAGTTTATGTATTATGTTCGGAGTTTTTCGTTAGCATTCTCCCTTTATATATAATTACACAGCATGCATGCACTTGGAGTCTTCTCAACTTTCCGACGATTTTCTAATTCGATTTGGTCAAATTAACTTAACACATCACAATATCGAGGATGAATTCAAAATACTCGAGCTTGAGGAACAACTTGAAGTATATTGGGATAGGAGTCCATGCATGAACAACGTGAATTCGAATACCCAGCCCGGTCCGAGATCGAAAAGAACATAATTTCATGCCCAGCCAGCCAGCTATTGCTGCCGAGACATAAGGTCTGAGGTAATATCAACCCTCGAATAGTCTGGTCAAAAGAACATCTCAAAATTTGCTACAGATCCAAGCGCACGGAGACGGACGCACGTGGTATCATGGTGGGAGAAAAGTCTAATGAGTTGCCATTCACAAGTGGGGGTCGTCTTGAAGTCTTGCGCCCATGAAGAAAGACATATCACAATCTGCCATGAAATTCACAGAGAGAAAACACCGGCATCCCAGACTGACTCGGATCTTCGGGCAGGAGAAGGTTGAAACTTTTATAAATGAATGACGGCATAAGTTTTAAATTAACCGCGAGGAGAGTAAGCGCCTTCCACAAATTCTTTGGCGATGTACTCGAGTAGAATGTGTTTACGGGAACTTGGTACTACTAGATTTAATTTATTTGGGAGAACATTAATCAAAGTGATCTGCGAGATAGATCAAACAAAGGCTTAAAGTTAAAGCAAGGGTTGCAAGCAGTTGATGATACAGCCGTCAATGAATCATTTCGGGCACAAGCATCATATCAATTCAAACTATTTCTGTGCAGTGCTTACAAGAGTAGCTCTTTCTAGGCAGTGCTTACCAGAGTAGCCATAGCACGAAGATAGCATTGTTGTATGTATCATAATTAAAAAAGGACAACTCTTAGCCCCGATGCTTTGCCTCTAATTATTTTATGGGTTCTCCGTATTGTGTTGCATACCGTCAAATCTCAGCTAACTGAGCTTAAGCCCTTACCCTTTTGGTTAACTTCTATAATGAGGCTAAAGCTAAGCATATCATATGATTGGAAGATTCAATAAAATGGGTTTTTTGATCAATGAGTCTATATCCACTTTTGGGCTACAATCTTGCATTAGTAACTTTGAAAGATAAAAACTAGGCTGTATGTAGTAAGGGCTTGAGCTCAGTTAGCTAAAAATTTGAAGGTACCCGAGTAGACTAATCCACTGAAGGCCGACAATTTTTACATCCACGAATGTTCCTCCCGACTCGGAAATCGTCGCAAGGATCCCGAAAAGACTTGGTCCTGTCACGTAAATTATTTTCTCTCAAGAATATCCACTCATTGAAGAAAGGCTCATAGAAATAATCTCGTGAAATAATCTTCAAGAAGATAGTTGGGCACTTCTTCTCGAACTTCTGGTCTTACTTTACTCGGACAAAACAAACAGCCTAGGTCTTATCTACAATGTTTAGCTTTTTAATACAGGTTCAGAAGCAGCCACTAAGCTAATATTCATTCTTGTTGCTAACCTGATATATTTAGATGTTACCCTCTTGATGCAAGTAAAGACATTAGTAAGAACAAATTTTCAAACATATATACCAAGACGGAATCACAAAAAGCGGAAACTGATCTCTGATATCTTTTGGCTCTCATTCTCGTTTGTTGGAGGTAGGGTAGCAATATTAGATTAAACAATATGAAATTACATACATCGCTTGGGCTCGGAGCCTTGGGGAATGAGTTATTCCAGGCCAAAATCAGAATCCTAACTTCAACATACTCATATCCCCATTGACGAATTAGATGTAAGATGACATTCCTTTCATATTAATACATCGCATCGTGTTCTACTCATTATCGATTTGTTAATTAGATGCGGCCTTCGATAAATTGGCCAACATCCCAGACATGCCTGAATTATCACCTTTCCACATTCTGTTCAGTCGACGGATGAAAACAAATCCTGGGTGGGATAGATATAACATCTAATTTGATCCGATGAGAATCGAAACAGAGGTTTACTTAAGCGTCCACCTTCCACCAGAGCATCTAAATAAGACAGAAGTTCGTCTATTCAACCAAGTCTCTCAAAAGTTTGCACACTGTGTTCGGAGTGCACCACATGCGACTTGGAAAGGGTTGAACCGAGTATCAACTTCAAGCATTTCCAAGTTGTTGATTTGGGACATTAGGAATAGAACACGCTGACGAACTACTTAGGGCAAAACATGTATCAGGACTAGATGAGATAAGATGAGAAAATGCTAATGTACAAGTATGGCTCAAAAGATGCATATTAGATGGGACGGCTATGAGAAGATGATTGTATGCGATTGGATTTGCAGTGATATCAAGCTTTGCGACAGTGCTTTCTCCCGATTTTGGTGTCCTTTATGATGGTTGTAGAAGAGATCAAGAGTGTTTACGATACGTGAGGATATGTAAGATTACAATATTGACGCGACAAACGCTAACCTATCACAATATTCTTTTATGCCATGTAATTTGATACGGTTATATATAATTAGAAATAGGCGGTCTGGTCTTGTTGATAACAAGTTTATATCGAGTCTCGAATTATATATTCTATCGAAGAAGAAGAAACAAAGGAACACTGTTTAATTAAACAGAATTACTATGATAAGATGGTTAGATTAGTAGCTCAAATATAGTAAGTAAATGAAAGGACTGTTTGTATTTCTGAGCTGTCAAGCAGAGAGGAAACAACACAGTATGCCGAAAATGGTGAGAATGTTATGCTGATTTATGATTACAGGTAGAAAGAAGCTGGCAGAGTACCAGATGAAACAACGAACACTTCGATACGATGCGATGAATCACTAGGTGCAATAGCTCAATGCTCAAATAGCAACAACAGCAACCTCTGCATTAGAACACACACAAAACACACAAGGAACCAACAACCGAATAAAATGTTTGCTTTGAATGCGACAATTAGCTGGAAAGTGCTTGTTAGGCTCGAGAGTTAATAACGAAGAACAATACGATTGTTCAAACGACCATGAAAAATCGAAACAACCGGAAAGCAATTATACACAATGACTAAACTCGCTTCGTAGTCCCACAAAGCCCAACAGAACAAACAGCAGCAGGAAGTTAAGAATTGTCGCATGGAGCCTCTTCTAGTGAAAGAATGGATTGGAGTTGACAAATCAAGAACTATCTGTCGCGAGCAAGCAAACAAGGTCATTCGATCTATCTGGCTGCCTCCTCTCTCTGTCAAGCAAGATTGCCGAGAAACGGTATCATATTGCTTCATATGAACCTGCGAGTTAATACTCCAACATTCCCGCCTCTACAATCTTTGTCTTGCAAACCAGCTGCTTTTGAACGAATTACTCTCAATTACCAACGCAACTCGGACTTGAACATTCAATATCATCACCAGGCACGAATTCGGAATGTCAAAACAGTTTACATCGAATGACAATAAGCAGATTACTAGCCAAGCTTGCCCAATGCTCAAGACACGAATAGTTGGATGATTTCATTGTCTAGAACTGCCACAGTCCCCAATCATAAGGATGAAGACGACAACACCCAAACGCAAGTTAAGCAAAACACGAATTTTCAAATTAATATGCGAGGAACTCTGATACCATGTCTATTCGTTCCAAGCAAGCTCACCCTGACCGAATCGAATCGATTCAGAAAATGCTGAATAAGTTAAGCCAGGGTGATCAAGTCACCAAGCCAGCAGATACATAATTTTTATCCCACCCATATCTACTTTAGAGACGTAGACAACGAGGAACAATTCTGCCTCGAAGCCTTTTCATCTCACCATCATCGATATATAGAAGCGAAGACGGTTTTCACTCTTTAAGAGTGTGTACTGTATGAAATACCTACGAAAACTACGAGTGAAAGAGGCAGAGAGAGGGTAGTAATGTTGCAAACTTACCACTAAGATGGCAGATGGCTATCGATAAGTGAAGCAATACCACATTTCTTCTACTTTTGTATTGGTATGGATGACACTCTGGCAGGATCGCTAACTGATTTGTATGAATGGTAGCAGCATACTGCGTCTGATCAGATCAAGACATATACTACCAAAATTGTTCAAGAGTCGGCAAATATGTATTTACGCAAGCATAACTTCTATGCCAATATAAGTCTTGGAACGCACACCGCCTATCTTAGTTCCTAAACGACCACGACGAAATCAGTCTCAACTTTTACCTCACTTCAATCTCTTAAAATTACGACAACGTCGAATAAACCCGAGTCGCTTTCCTACACGACCAGGAAGAAACTAGATCACCCGAAAATCGATACTCTCATTGCTGTTCCTAATTACACTGCAGCGATGTTGATGATCCCTAAAGTGTCTGTGTCACTCAACGATACTATCTATATCCAGCTTCACCAATGCATTCAATTCGGCAATTAGTTTTCCTATGAATCTATGCTGTTCAAAGCCCCTAGCGTCTGGGCTTCCAAGGCCCATTCACGACTCCAGATTCCCTGAGACATAGACTGACCATGACCGTCTCCGCAGATTCATAAAAGCATCCTATCTAGTATCTGCTACCACCTCAGTCCTCAAATATCTCATTTAATTTAAGTATTTGCAACTCCGGCCAACATCTGCACCAGAAGTTGTTCTACACGAAAACAGTCCCGTCGCGACTCCCACATCTGCCTACTTTCATTGTCTCGGAAGCAAGCCCAACGAAAAGAAATATGCCGCTATAGCTCCTACCAGGCAGGACAACAAACAATCTATGTTTCCTTCACCACAACTACTTCCTCGAGTCGTCCACTCGAGACATCTCATACCTTCGCTACCATGAAGTAAAGATGTCTAAAAGTTAGTTACGCATAAGCTGGTACACAGCATATCGAGGTCGAAACTACCAGCTTTTGTATCCTATCGACAGCTTGAGATCCATTCGAGTAGTACTAAGGCTACCTTAAAAGTTATATTGGCTGTCTGGCTTGGGTCGATATTTGTTTCAACTCTGAAATCATGCGATTAAGATTCCAGATTGTTTTGATTTTGAAATCGCGGATGTCGTACTCATTACAATAGGGATTGTGAGTAGATGTGGGTCTAATAGTATCCAATGGGACGGAAATGCAAGTTTGATATGTGAGCATTTCCGCATTTCGAATTCCTCCTCACAATACCTCAACTCATACTAACTATCCACCATAAAAGCCATATTACGTCACAAAAACCTAAAGGAGACGAGGTGATGAAGCAAGCAGAACTGGAAGGAAGCAGCTGCAGAGTGTTTCCTCCACACCAGTCAGAGAGTTTACACACAGAAGAGCCTACTCTGCTCATGAGGGACAGGTGATGTTGGCAGTCACCTATCCTCCCAACATTGTGGCTTTAATGTGTCGATTAGTGTGGATTGTTGTCCAGTTTAAAACTCTCAATGTTTGGGATAACTGTGAATGCTTGTAAGTACCTAGTAGTTTAATAAATCCAATAGACTTATCGCTTCAATGAAGATTGTGTATGGACCATATCACTTAATTGCTTTTCTCTGCCTACCGATACTGATACATGGGCCATCATTAGCGCTTGGAAGTAGTATACGCAGGATGTTTTAATAGATACGAAATCAAAATATATCAATCAAGTATATTTCGATTCCAGCCCAACTTGAAAGTATTTCAATCTGAGTATAAAAATACGTGAAGTTATCTTTTCCCTTCCTCCTCTATCCAAGTTGCCTTCTAGTAAGTTAACTTTGACGTTTTGATTATCATAAACGCAAAAGACAAGAAAATAAATATAATACAAGGCTTAAGTAGAAGTTGTTGATTAATTAGCGCAATTATAAGGAGGCAGAGATAGAGTTAAATAAAATAATCAAGTAAAAAAGAAATACGCTTGTAGACTAAAATACCGGTACAGGTACATATAATCATATAATATTAGGGCCAAAATAGAAAGAGTAGATACCTTGTAGGCTCCTTTCATATTATATTCCTAATAGTAGGCCTCCACGGCAGTGGTTCCCGAAGGGCCAGCGGAGCGTCATTCTATCTTGATGTATTCTATATTTATTCGTACCTATACCTACCTGTATCACAGGCATTTACTAAACTGAAAACAATCAAAACCTACTACTCCTTCATTTTCCCTTTTTTCCCTTTTTTTCCCCAGCTCCTTTTATTCTCCGCTATACATTTTTAAAAACGCTCTCATCATTATCAAAAACATTCCTGTAACCAGGTGGTGTGGTGTAATGGTAGCACGTAACGTTGTGGCTCTTCCTCATTGGATATACACGATAGATTCCGTTTCAATCTGGGTTCGATTCCCAGCACCGCCAAAGACAGTCGTCTTGGATTGAAGAAACATGATGGTTTGATTCCATCTTACTTTTTGTTTTTGAAGTTTTTGGAGAGGGTGGGGGGTTTTTTTTTTGGGTGGTGCGGGGTGTTTTGTGGTTGGTGGGGTGAAGCAGAAATAGAAGTGGAGAGTGAGGGCATCTTGCTGTTGGTGGATTGGGCTGCGTGATTGGATTGGGTGAGATGGTAGACGAAGTGGGTCTGGCGGGAGAGCTAAAAGTGGAGTCGATTCCTGAGATCCGATCCGATCGAATAAGCTCTTAATAAGTTTTGCTATACCGGGTCATTAAATAACCACGGGTATCCCGAAACTTTCGGTACATTTGGTACTCAGTATGAAGTTAATTATTCATTCTGGGTACCGGCATAAGATTTGTTTCCATTCATTTCGACCTTACAAGCACTCTCTTCTCCTCAATTCGTTTTCCGGAAACTTTTTGAATCAATTATACACATAGAATATGCATTCATTTCCATGCTTCTATCCTACTTTTTAAATAGCATCTCTCCAATCTTTCATTCAATATACACATGCATTTTCATCATCTCATGACATGAAGAGTCCTTTCAATATACCGTATTGCAATTGAGATTTCCGACGAGCACCTAGTCCCAAATGCCAGTACCGGTACTCATACGAAACAAATACAAGTATCTAGTAAGAGTCATCACAACGCTTTAAATCCAGCCCCCCTAGATACAAGCTCACAAATTCTTCCCCGCAGTCACCACACTCCCCGGCGTAACCGCCACCCCCTTAACCACCACCGTACTCCCACTCACCCCCGTAACCCTCACATCCACCAACGACCCAAAGCCCTGCGCCTTTTCAAAAAAGTTATAATCCGTACGCGTCGTCCCCTGCCACGTCGTACCCCCATTAGTCGAAACCTCGAGTTTTGAGATTCCCTCGACGGCATTAACGACCTGCATGCTAAACCAGTAGGCCGAGACTCCTTCTTTATTATGGAGTTGGAGGGGTGTGGTTATGGGACATTTGATGTAATCCCAGGTGATGTCGAGGATGCCGGTGGAGAGGGAGCCGAGGGTGGTGAAGGCGTCTGGGTAGAGATCTAGGTGGTTGGTTCCGCAGCCGGGACATTCGTCGGTTATCTTGGTGGGGGGTTAGAATACTTGTATGTAAGACTATATGGGGGTGTATATATACCATAGCAGTAATCGAGTTACCGGCAGGACCGGTAACAGATACACAACGACCACATTGTGCAGCAACAGCCCAGTTGGAGTCGGAGAGCGCAGTGCCGAAGATATTAGATGGGAGAGTGTAGGTAGAAAATGAACAAGCTCCTCCTGCAGTATTACCACCATAAGAGGTAGCTTGACCCGAAAGAGCACGTTTTTCAATGACTGCTCCTTGAGCAATAGATAGAATGGTAGAGGCAGTAGCCAAATGCTTGATTGAGATAAACATTTTGACTGAGTTTGAGTTTGACGTACGAAATCAATCGTAAGCTATTGCTTGAAAGGAATGGGGATAGTAATGTTGGTACTGTATAGACCGTAAACGATAGATAACTTTTCGAAATGTATATGTACAGAAACGAGTGTACTGCAGAGCAAAGCTTATATATATGATTGAGAATCGAAAGGTGGTGATGAGGTGACGGAACTAAAGAGAGAAGCCCGGATGAACGAAGGAGATACCTTTTGAAGTTTAAGAATTGATATATATTAAAATTAATATATTTAAAATGATGGTCCCAGGGGTGCTGGCAATGATTATGCGGGGCGGGATGCTTTTTGGATGGGTTTCATGGCAGCCAACATGTTCCCCCTTTGCAATCTTAGAATGAGTATTAATTGGTGTGACATTGTTCATTTTTCTTGATGAATTGATTTGGAGATTGGTTGACTAGATACCTAATCTTCAGATATTGATTAATTACCAAGTCGAATTTTCGATACCCAAACCTCAATTTTTCGCGATCTCATCAATATTGGTTCTTTTAAAACGATGCCGTCCAAAAGAAAAGGAGACTTCCCTTAACGTCCTCGAATACAACCACAACCATTTGGTAGTAAAGCCCATCCACTTGATATGTACTGCCTTGATATTCCCTCCTGTAATTAATTAAAACGCAGCTCCATATCCAAGGAATGGAATCCTGAATTCTATCGTGATCTAGACTCCCAGCCCATCTTTTAAGCTTTAGAAGGAAGAAATAAGCTTTTTCTTAAGTCACGGAGTTCTACCGATCCAATACTCGAGTTATACCATGATGAACATGTGATATCCTGAGTTCTTGTATTCCACGAGACACAATTTCCCCGTATTCATTGTTTTAAGTTTATACTCTGTACTCTCTCAAGGTTGGATTGAGCGCTTTATCTAAATATATTGCGATGCGATTAATCAAATGAAAGGCATAAATAGGACGAAGTGACAGTCACTTAGATGTCTATACGAGCCTAAGCAATCTCGGTTTTAGAACTCAATTGTTTTAATCTTTGTTTATTGTTCCGGCTCGAAGTGTCAAAAGTAGTTAAACCCTTCCTGGGGTTGAGAAAAATAGTATGTCTACGACTACTCGTATTTATTGTAACTATATTCAGGCGTCCAAAAAGCGAGTATGATAATTGATGTGGCGTGTTGTATGATGAAAATGGATATCCCGGAAAGTTGAGTGTGACTGGTGTGGCCAACTGTATGAAAACAGATACAAGCCCAAAAGTAATATCCGTAAAGATCCAAGTAGAAAGACTCTTCGATTGAAAACCAATACCCGCAAACTCTTTCACTTCTATTACCAGTACTTCATACGGAATCATACCTGAAACTAATATACTAGTAATAGCTTCAGGTATGCACAAGAATTGGAGTCCCTTCCTCATCTCTTTCACTCTCATATTTAGAATGTAATAACATCAATTCCACCCACACTCTACGATATAAAAAGAATTTTGATATTTGCAATCTTCTATGTTCTATGTTCAGATCCGCATATGCCAAATTCATAATCATGTTGATATACTGTTGCTGCGAAATCGTTGGAGTCAGTCTCCAATCACCATTAAACTGGTTCCGGTCTCCCACTCAGTCATTGATCCAGGGGGAGTAGATGAAAATATTGAATACAGCACCAACAAGACCATTAGTGACACCACCATTGGCTATATGCTTTCACCCGGTAACATTACATCATCGCTGATAGTGATAACGCCTGCTACAACTTTCAAAGCAAGGCTTGAAAATGCGTCGACGGTATCGATTTGAACTAATGATAGAGTAAACCTCAGTTGAAGGTTGCATTCAAGGGTTTTCATTGTACAACTGCCAATTAAGCACCATATTATGCTTATGAAATACAGTATAGTGCTTCGAATTTCGAACGAACACAGGCACTGTAAGGGGCTAAATTTTGACTTGCTATGTAAAATAGTCTTTGTCAAGGTTTATAAGGTAATATGCTTTTTGCTTCAAGAGGAAGATTTAAACACAGTAGGGTAACTTCCAGAAAACCATACAGGATCTTGAAAACGTAAAAAGGCGCAAAGCAAAAATCAAAGATACATTGATACATTCCAACATGGAGTAACCCGAAACGAAAAGAGCACTTGCACTTGAGAGTCTCTGTGAAGCTCATATTGTACGGGGGAGATGGACCGGAAATTGAAGGACGAGTGTGGAAAGCTGATTGTTGCGGAGAACGTAACATCGGAACGAACACAACAACATGAAGGGGTCAGACAGTCCCATAGGGCGGATATTCATGCTTCAGTCAATGTTGTGCAAGTATAAAGGGGTCCGATCAAGTGTATTCCTCCAACCTGATACTTCCCTCAACGCGGCGCTGCATCTATCCTGGTTCCAAGATGGTATCGCTCTGGGTGGTCTGGGTGGTGCGTATGATCGATAGCAGATATCGGTATCTGATACCCAAAGCCCATCGGATTCTCAGTATCGCAAAAATGGTCCTCCTCTTAGCTAGAGATATTGATAAAGCTTGCTGCGGTTGCAGATTTATCAATTGTTGGTTCAACCGCTTTCGAGGTCTCCGTGATAATCGAGATCTGGGCATCCTTCGAATTTTGAAGTAACGGGGACGAGATATATGTGAAAGGATGAAAAGTTGCTGGTTGTGTTACCCGATTACGAGTAGTTATGGACATATCGAGGTATCAGCTTCAACTCGTACTCGAGTAGAGCTATGAGTTGTATGGATCTAATAGTCCTTGATAAGCTTTCATATCGCACGGTTCTCGCAACCAAGCTTTCATCTCCGTTGAAGCCTGAAGGCAAATTCTAGCCAGGGCCAACGGATCATCAAGTTGTCTTCAAAATACTTGTTTGAAGGAGATCGCGGCGATGTGGGTTGTATGTGATGAGATGAAATGTAGTTTCTTAAGTTTCCAAGTTTCCATACTGCCGTGTTTAGGTATCACGGGAAGACCCCACAAATATGCCCTCTAAGTTAGTGCGGGTCACGCCATATCCTCCGCATATTCATACAACACCAAGATAAGGAGAATCCGTATTAGACACATAATACGAACGAAGATTGGTTAAGATCATCGGAGTGAACGAATCTCGGTGTCGGAAGTGATTGCGAGGTAATCGAGGCAATCGACGAGCTCGAAAATTGCGTGACATGATATCCATAATTCCGAATTCATAGAGAACTAGAACAGTTTCAATCTGGTTCAAATGAGGTTGAAATCGTCGATATACTGGAACTCAGATTTGTTGATTTTTTTGGCCATTAGAATTGAGTGCAGGTATTGACAGCAGCTTTCAATTCATTCTTTTAACAACATGCCTTCAACACAAATATATGTGTCGCGATCCACCAACCAAGCAATAACACCTCCAAAGACTCCGGATTCCTACGAGTATCAAAAAGTCTTTCACAATTGGCCTGAACCAGAGACTGAGCCCGAGGGTATCTATTTGCAACGCGAGAGGAAAAGTTTAGGTCAGGAGAATGATTCAATTGACGATTCGTATCTGAATGTGTCGCTCCTGAATGTGTCGCTTCAAGAAGTCCTTCTCTTGCATGGTCCAAAGCAGAGATATACCCATGCTACAGAACAACCAATACCTTCCTTAAAGGATAGTCGTGAAATGCTTGTTGCAGTGGAAGTTGTCGGTTTAAATCCAATCGACTGGAAAGCTCCGTAAGTAATAATTCGTATTTTAATTGCAAATGATACCATTTAACTGACCATTTATAATAGAGATTTTGGCTTTGGGCTGCCCTCTCTCCCCTGCATAAGTGGCCGAGACTTTGCGGGGAGAGTGGTAAAACCACCCCAAGCAAATTCCAGATTCAGATCGGGAGACATTGTAAGAAACTATGAATGCTAGATAAAGTAAACACTAACAGATCTAGGTTGTGGGTATTTCCACGGATTATCGAGATTCACGGAAAGCTGCATACCAACAATACGCAGTCGTGTCGGACTTCAATGCTTGTAGGCTTCCAAATACCGTAAGCCCAACAGATGCCGCACCACTTGGTGTTGCCTTTGTTGCAGCGGCCCTTGGCTTGGGTATATGCTTAGGCGTAAATTTTGCCAATCATTTAGGAGAACTTCAAGGTCCGGATCTTCTTCGAGCAATTCATTCCCTATCTAGAGATTCTATTTCACACGATGTAGGAACAGAATGTTTTGATAGTATTCGAGAAGATGAAAGGCCTGAACCAGGTGATTGGATAGCGATTTGGGGAGGTAAGTTAGTTTTTTCCAAAGCTTTGAATGAGTACTGATGGTCGTAGGTTCATCTGCTACTGGATGTTGCGCAGTTCAGCTTGCCAAGTTAGCTGGACTAAAAGTTATTGCTGTCATAGACGTCGCTCGAAGTGGTGAACGCATGTTGAAGCATGGGGCAGATCTTTTGGTAGACCGATTTGATACTGAGAGAGCGATATCAATCGTTAAAGGTATAACAAAAGGAAAACTACGATTTGGACTTGATACGAGAGGAAAAGAAAGTACTGCCCTTCTTGCACAAACCATGCAATCAGGTATTGGCATTGAAGGCAAGAGGGCGCATCTTGTTGGTTTGACCGGACTGCCCAAGGAGCCAACACCAGGTGTACTCTATCATTCCGTCCCAATCAAGACATTCCATGAGGCGCCGAGGATTGGTGAAGAGTTGATGATTTGGTTAGAAAGATTATTCAAGCACAACAGGATAGCGACTCCTGAGATTGAGGTCGCACATGGTGGGTTACAAGGCATAAATGCAGCACTTGATAGACTGAGGGATGGTTCAGTAAATGGCCCAAGAATTGTAGTACCATTAGCATTAAGAACATAAAATACAATACTCGAGTATAGTAAAAACATCCTATCCATTGGACGTTTACACGTGGTTTTGGATGACTAATAAGTACTAGAGCTTAGCGCAAATTACACAGACCTCATGAACCCATCCATTTCACCTCCATTCTCTACTTGTCCCTCCTTCGTCCCTCCTGTCTCAGTATTGATTACCTCCTCTGTTAACGAAAACCAACAGGCACGTTATTGTAAGCTTTGACTTTGATGTTACTATGCGATTAATGGCTTTATTGGTTCGGATTGCTTATATGCCTTTACGATGATCTTGTCGATCAATTAAACCTGGGCTTGGGGTGCAGCAAAGCTCTTGCACAAGAAGGGATCCATATTGCGCCATCCATCGTCCAGGATATCAATACCTTTTACCGTCCTACACAACCAAAAGTTTGGGTAACTACTGTCGGAACTTTCTCTGTAAGTCTACGATGCTACGAGTAAGTGTCCATATTGAAATTAGTAGGTATTGGGATAGCTACTTGAGAACTTAGCTGTGTCTTCTTATTGTGATCTTACTACTCGAGTACTTCTGTTTTCCATTCTTTCATCTCTCTCTGCTCAGACCCAATTCGCATCTTATACTACCTCTAATCTTAGGCATGTCTACTACCATCACAATCAGCAGCAATAGTCCAATTATCATTCGCCATGATGGACCACCCAATGGCCATGCCGGCGCAATCACTAATGGATATACCAATGGCGATAATCACACCACCAATGGACACGATGCACATTTCTCTGCGGACCCAGAAGTCAATGATGCACCGGACCGCGTCAAATTCGCGTACTGGGTCCCCAACGTTTCTGGTGGTTTGGTGATCTCAAAGATTCCGCAAAGAACAAGGTAGTTTTCATGTCCACCTACGAAATCTCCATCACTAATATTGCATAGTTGGGACTACGAATCGAATGTGAAATACGCACAAACTGCTGAAGCAGTTGGGTTCGAATATGCTCTTACTCAGATTCGGTTCATGGCAGGATATGGAGCTGTGAGTTTCATCCCCGCATTATTGGCCTAGTACTAACACTGATCGTTCGCAGGATAATCAACATGAATCTGTCTCCTTCTCACAAGCACTTCTTCATAATACCAAGAAGCTTAATGTTATTGCGGCGTTACTACCTGGTCCATGGAATCCAGCTGTCGCAGCCAAACAGATTGCCAGCATTGATCACTATACAAATGGAAGGATATCCGTGAATGTTGTTTCTGGATGGTTCAAGCAAGAATTTACAAGCATTGGACAATGGTGGCTTGAACATGCTGAGCGTTATAGACGCAGCAAGGAATTTATTGAGTGCCTGAAGGGCATCTGGACTTCTCCAAAATTCTCCTATAAAGGAGACTTTTACCAGTTCCACGATTACCCTTTGTCGCCGAAGCCTCTCGATTTACCAGGTCGACCACACCCTTTAATTTTCCAAGGTGGAAATTCGATTGATGCTCGGGAAAACGGTGCTTCGGTATCCGACTATTATTTCATGAATGGCAATACCCTTGAAGGGTTTCAAGAGCAAATTGCTGACGTCAAAGAGCGTGCGCGGAAACTCGGTCGTGAAGACAAGATACATTTCGCCGTCAACGGCTTTGCTATCGTCAAAGAAACGGAGGAAGAAGCCATACAACTACTGTCTGAAATCCAAGGCAAAGCAGATAAGGAAGCCGTGAATGCATTTGCAGATGCGACAAGACAAGCTGGTTCGTCTACAGGAACTAAGAAGGGCATGTGGGCAGATAGCAGATTTGAGGATTTGGTTCAGTACAACGATGGCTTCAAGACGAAGTTGATTGGAACAGCCGAACAAGTCGCCGACAGAATTTTATTGCTGAAGAGCTTAGGGATCGATATTGTTTTGATCGGGTTTTTGCATTATGAGGACGACATTCAAAATTTTGGGGAGAAGGTTTTGCCGCTGGTAAGGAAGCTAGAGAAGGAAGGAAGGGGAAAAGATGTCGAGGATGAAATCCGAAGGACTGGAGATGTTTACCGTACGAAACGGTGAGGATTAAAGAATGAGTTGCTTTCCGAAATTGTATGTCTTCTTCCACTTGATCTTAATATCAGCTATTGATTTATCAATAGGATCTTGTACAAAATAATCTCACGGAGGCTTTAGAGAACTTGAAAGAACCTCGACCTGCAGAATGGATGCAAAGGGGATCTGGTTTCACCAGCCAGTCATCTCATGTTTTGGCACAAGACTTGCCATCGTGTTTTACCGACTCATTTTCCTTTCCCAGTACCGATATCAATTCGTGCTTTTTGAAATCTATATAACGGGGCTCTTTTATCATCAAGAGGATTCTTTGTAGGATTACAAAACATTTTTATACTTTCATCCGGGGTGGAATAATGGACGGAGGTTTGTGTTACATTGTTTTGAGGTGATACCATCAATATATGGTAATGAGGACATTATGGTTGATATTACGTAGAAATTATTAACAAGAGATTTCGAAACATACATAAATCGCTCTGGAAAACTCCAATTTTTATGAAACCATCGATTATGCACTGGCTGTGTACCACAGTCAACTATCGTCTTTTCCCTCTTTAAGATCCAGTTTTTTCTCGAAAGCTAGCCGATTTGATTCCTCTTGACAGCAAAAGAACTCCCTGCAAACAAAATGGCTATATCGCATATTCCCCCTTCTATAGATTATCAACACGACCCATCAGGTTCGCTCAAGTAATGTCCCAAAACCCATCATCAACAATCCAAGTGGATCCAAATAAACCATCAAGTCGTTGGGCTGCTACCAAGGCCACCTTATGATGCGGGAAGAATTAATGCATATACCGTACATTCGATCGAAAATTTCCGCAGGTAGGGGTGTATGACCTTGAAGGTAGGGGGGATGGAGTGAGATGTCGCGATTTTACTGTCTTGAAGTTTTGGCGAATTTAGTTCTTGTTCTTTTTCGGCATTCTTACAAACCAGTAAATAGCAAATATTGCAAGCGTGTTGAAAATGACATAAATGACCATGTACGCTACAATACGCCAAGCTTGTTGTGTCTCTAAACCCAATTGCTGAAGTAATTGGTTAGTCTGATCAACTGGGCAGTAAAGGCAATTCGTTGTCGCTGCTGGATTCTTGAGAACCCCACTCGCGTACTGCAGGAATGGCCCTAGATATTCGCCACACGTAGAGTTAGAGAAAGGAGGATCGACGTGAAGGAGCTGGATATCGGAACACTCGATGTGTGTGTTAGCCAGGCCTGCCAGAACCATCCCGTCAACAAAATATGTCAATGGAGACGCTCGATAAACGAAGATCCAGAACCGAGGAAGGTCTTTAGGGGAAACGAGGACACTAGAAGGTTCAGATTAGTCCTGAAGCAATTTCAAAGAGAAGGGTAGTCCTTACCCACAAAATACAAGCGAAAGCCTGAAGCACAGCGTGGCAATCTGTACGGCTGTCTCCGCGTGCTCGATGCCCACGCCCACAGCCTGCGAAAAGGTCGAGATCCATAAACAAAAAAGCCAAATGAGCACAAATACTAGGCTTCCCCTTTCTACCGTTCCAAAACTTGGGTCGCCATTTCGCCAAAGCCCCGTGGGATAGTACCAGGATATGAAGATTACTACAGAACATACTGTCTGCCAGAATAGTTCAACAATGACGTTAGCAGTGAGGAACGTGATCCAGGAGTAAGATTTAGATTTCCTCTCGCGGGCTTCGAATAGGGCGCGGCTGTGGGCAAGGCGTGGGATGATTTGTTGGTCGAGGGTGCTGAAGAGTTGAGAGATGAGGAAGATGGAGAAGAGGAAGTTAATGAAGCCTTGCATGTCGAGTGAAGTTTTATAAAAGGAGATACCGTTGAAGAAGCACTATGATGATGTTAAAAACGCTGCGCAAAGAAAGGGTTACGGTTAACACCTACCACGCCGGCACAGAGAGCCAGCTTTGAATACAAATATGTAGGATCTTTCCAGTATTCTTGGAAAATTCGTCTCGTCACGATGGTAAGCTGTCTGATGGACGAAGCAGCATATTCGCTCCTGACTAGTCTTGTGGAAATCTTGCCTGGAGTTGAGGGTTGTTTTACCACGGTAGCCTGTTGAAGATACTGTTGTGCATCTTGGTGCTGCTGACTTTCATTCCACTTCTGCGACCAGCTTGGTCCCGATACTCCAGACTCCGTTGCCGTTGGTGATTTCTCGGATCCCCTCGTGGTCATGACGGAAGGACTACTGCTACTGATGACATCCAGAACCCATTCCGCAGGATTATCTTCTTGTCGGCACTTAGGCGCTCCTCTAGTTTCAAAGTAGTCGATCAATGCTGAGGCATCATTTCCGATGTCACCAAAGTATACAGTATCATCGTGGTCGCTGAGCAGTAGCAAGCAATCGAACATCCGAAACAATTGGGACGACGGCTGATGAATCGTACACAGGACCGCTTGTCCGTGGTCTGCTAGTTTGCGGAGAAGCGAACAGGTGGACCAGGCTGTCTGGCTATCCAGTCCAGATGTCGGCTCATCTTCACAGGATAGAGTCAGCTAATGATATTTACACTTGATCACAATGGAGCACTAGCCTAAGAACAGTAATAACTCGGGTCTTGAAACCAGCTTCACGCCTATGCTAAGCCTCTTTCGCTGTTCAATATTCAAGCCTGTGGCGATTAGCAGACATATTCAGCAGATGAGAAATCCTTCACTCACCACTACCGGCAGATCCCACCACGGCATCCGAATATGGCTCCATGTCTAAGATTCTAATGACATTTTCGACGTAGATTAGCTTTTCTTCTCTTGACTGGGTCCCTGATTGTCGAAGCAATGCACTGAACTCTAGAGCCTCGCGAACGGTTGCAGTTGGAAGTTGTATATCTTCCTGCTGAACGTAGCCAATTTTTCGTTGGAAACTCGCGTCTCTCGGTGTGCTATCGATGTATACCTCGCCACTTGCTGTGCCGGAAGTTGCTCGATTGGCCAACACGTCGAGCAATGTTGTTTTCCCAGCTCCTGTAACGCCCTAGCATAACTTTATTAGTCTAAAGCTTTTAAACCGTCTCTATCTCAATTAAGAAAAGTTGTTACCATTAGAGCAATTAACGTCCCGGGCTTGACCCATCCATTAATATTGTTCAAAATTCTCTTCGACCCTTTCTTGGTTTTTACGTCGTAGCTCAGATTGTTCCAGTGAAACACTGATGATGGTCGTAGAATAGACTGCGAAATCTCTGAATTATTACCATTAATTGCGGGATATGCCTGCTCATTGAAGTCCTGGGCAAATATTGGCGACGCCTCAGCGTGCTCAGAGTCAGACGCTCGTTGGGATTGCTTCTTGCTATGGCCACGCTGAAAAAGTAGAACTTCGCCCTTTGATCTCTGTGCGGGAATGTACTCTGCCGCTAGCAAATGGATTGTGCAAAATATGACCATTAAGGCAATGATGATGCCGAAATTCATCCAGAGATGACTCGGCTCGTATCCGTATTTGAGAAGGAGATATGATGATCCTTGTACATTAAACTCTCCAGGTTCAGCTCCTACGACTGGACAGACCTTGCCATGCATACCTACCTGCGTAGAGTATTCAGGTCCTGTGGGAATTGTGGACGAACAAGGGAATTCTCGACCATTAAACTATTAAATGCACGTCATCAGTTGAGTTTTGTGCAAAATCCAAGAATTACTCGCACCTCATTGATCATCAGGCTTTCGTAGGCATAAGACATGGGATTCAATCGTCTAAACCACGAAAGCCAAGGCTTCATGTACGGAACTGGTATCACAAATCCAGTATACACAATACATAGTAAGACTACGATGGATGCAGGAGCCATAGTCTGCTCAAGTGTTCGTGACATAGAGCCCAGTGTCCGGAAAACCATACTCATAGTAAGGACGATAAAGAACATGAAGGTGGCGTAAATGAAGAAAGCGGAAGCTGTTCGGCGGAGGTTGGTCATGAAATAAAGCGTAACGTGAAACATAACAGTGGTGCCGAACTTAACTGGGAAATCGCAAATAATTGCAGCCACAGCCTCAGTAAAGGGATGATAAAAGGCGTATCGATCGTGTTTTCCCACAATAGACCTTTGCGCCCACATGGTTAGGACCTGAAAAGTTTGACAATGAATCAGTACTTCCCCGTGGCTGAGAAAAAGGTTGGCGGCCTAGCAGCTTACCTCGAAAGCAGGTGAAAAGGCGCATATCATCAATGAGAAAAATATGAGAACGGCCCTCTGGTCCATGCTATCACTTGTATCTGGAAGATCATAGAACACGCTACCGACGACGATAGCAAGAATGGCATTCGCGAAGACGGTCGAGACTGCAGGAACATAGTTATTGCGCAGACGAAGAAAGCCCCTTTGAAGACAGATGAGGATTTGCCGGCGAATTGGAATCAGGTAAGTGGCTGAGCGAAGTCTAGCTTTACATGTTAGCGCGATCTGAAATTTCTCGCGTCAAGTGTCCATGACTTACTCTAGCATCTCCCCGATCGAGTTGGAATTCTCAGTTGAATCAGTCCGTTCTTTGGTTGATATTTCTAGTGGATGAGCAGAATTAAAAGTGTTAATAGATCCTATGAATTTCTTTCTCTCAATGCTTTGTTTCCATGCAGTTGCGAACTCCTTTGGCGACCTTGGAGCTTGATCTTCATAGCCTTCCCGAACAATGCGCTCGGCCGGGCTCGTGAGTGAAGTGAGAAAGTCAGCAGTTGTCGCTCTGTTATCCTTTGCAAATCCAAGTTTACGAAAATAGTCGGTAGCTGACTCAACAGGGCCAAAATAGATCTGACGGCCCTCGTACAGTATCGTGACTTTGTCAAAGTTCTGATCCACACGTTAGCTTCCGTGTAATCTGTGTTCAGATCCACGATTCTCTACTTCTCCCGAGTTACTCACAGGATACATTGCCTCTGACGCCTGGTAGATACTCATGATGACGGTTGATCGCAAGACTTTCGTTGATTTCTGTAGCAGGTCGATGAATCGCTGAGCAATCGAGCTATCTAAGCCGCGAGTACTGTTGTCCCAGCACTGAAACTGAGCACAACTTATGAGTGCCTCGGCGATGCTTGTTCTCATAGTTTCACCTTCGCTAACGCCTCGGATCAAGCCATTGCCCATCTTGGTGTCGAAAGCATTCGACAAACCAAATAAAACTGCAACTTCTCGACCAGTTGTTCGTGAAAGAACATTACTATTTGTGCCAGTCCCTCGTGTCGATGCCGCGAATTCGAGGGTCTGACCGACGCTAAGCTCAGGAAAATGCTTGTCCAGCTCGGCAAGGTAGATGCTTTCACCTTTAAAGTCCCGATGCATCTGGTTGTACGAGATGCCAGCGTAGTTAATCTTGAACTGCTCGCCGACATAGATGCCGTTTGTGTCTCCAGACAAAAGTTTTAGAAATGACGAGCAACCGCTGCCAGGTCGGCCAAGGACCAGGAGCATCTCCCCAGGCTTGACTAGGCCATCAAAGTCCCGCAAGATTTGCACTCTCTTAGGCTGCTGCCAAGAGAAGATTCTTGCGATAAAGCGTGGAAGTGCTAGTGCGTATGAAGTTACAGTGTTTTGAAACGTCGTCGAGGACGTGAAGCCATAGCATTCAAGATCCTGAAAAGAAACTTCCAGCTGCAGCCGGTTTATCTTCTGCCGTCTCAGCAGCCAGTCCTGAAAGACTGTATCTCGGGTGTCAGTGTCCATGGAGATTATCATATACCGATTGACAGTTCAAGTTCCGTTCAATGATTGACTTTGTGGGTCAAGTAGTTTCGCGACTCCCACACAAGGAGAGATCTGAGGTTTGGATAGGGAACAGAAGAAAATTTGGTTGTTATTGTTTTTTATTGTTAGAGAGGGTTGCTGTGTAATATCTAGCTTGTGGCTTAGAGTGCTTGTATGCATATGAGTGAATTCTCCGTTTGTGTTTTGCTATAAGACTTTTAATATTTGTTAATTTTGTTGGAATATCACTAAGATCATAATAGGTATAATAGTAGTAATATTGTATGTGTGTATCCTTAGAGGTATTCTAATAATATTGAATATATATATAAGTATATAAGATATATATATATAAACAATATTATATGAACTATATTATATAACCTTATATAACTTTGTATTGAATTTCCAATATTCCCTTATTAATTAAAATAATCAATTATAAAATATTACTAGGCCATATACCTGAATCCTATTCTTGACTAAACTCTAGGGTCTTATTAATTCTTATAACAATAGATAATATTATAATATCTAATATTCTATAATAAGTATATTGTAATATAAAAATGCTTTAATTCTTTCGAGATTTATTGTTTTTTTAATCAAAGGTATTCTTTTAATATCCTATTCTAAAAAAAGTAGTTTGTGAGTAATACTTGTAATTCTATTAAATGGTTAGAATTATTTCATTTAAATCAATCTTAAGCAATTAGTTCTAAACCCTTTAAAGATTATTCGAATTTTGATATAAATAAAACCTTTGTTAATA